ATTGGACATACTGGGTTGACATCTTACTCTTTTTTACAGTCAATAACCATATTCAATTCTATGCATAGTCCCGTTTCTCTAACCAATAATAAAAAGAGTTCCAAGTTTGATAGAAGTATGTATCTTAAATATCCTAAATATGTAGGATACATATTTCTATCAAACTTGGAACTCCTTTTACTATTGGTTAGAGAAATGGGACTATGCATAGATCTGAACATGGCGATGGATTGTTGTTAAAAAAAATGGGGGGCTGATCCAGTATGTTCGATGTCTTTGATGATTGATGTTTTAGTTTTCTTAGTTTGTAGAAAATAGTAATAATAAAACTTATTTTAAAAAAAGAAGTATGTATCTTCCTTCTCCTTCAAAGACAATCTGTCCATTTCCGCGCCATCCAAAATCTTTTTTAAAATCAACTCTTCAGTAGGTGGCTCATCGCTTCTCCAGTGTTGGGCAAATGCAATCCTCGCCACAGTAATTATATGTAAAGTCAAATATATAGCTTGTTTATCAAAATCATCAGGAATAATACCTACTAGAAAAACATCAGGTTTAAATATTAAAGGTTTTTGTAGCATTTCCTCAAGCCATTTGTGTATTTTAACCGAGTTTTTTTTTTTTTTGCCTTAACACAAGTTTACCACATATGATAAAAAGTACCAGGTTTGTGTTTACATTTCCAACATCTATTTGACATATTTGGGACCATTTTTGCAAATTTATTTGGTGATAAATACCATCTGTAAAACATTTTATAAAGGTTTTCTTTATATGAGGTTGCTAAGGTTATCTTACTATTTCTTTCCCTCAGCTTTTGCCATTTCTGTAACTCAATATTATATCCATTTCTGTAACTCAATATTTGTGCCCATGTTATCAGTTGCCTTAACTTGTTCATCTTCTATTTTCATGTCCAAAAGAAAATTATACAATCTTTTAATAATTTTTTCATCTGGTTTTAAAATCATTTGAACAAAAGTTGTTAGTTCCTTATAAAAACCACACATTCCATAGTCTTTAATATCTACCACTCTAAATGACTCTGGTGCACCCACAACTGGAGTATTGTGCACAGTTTTGGGCCCCTCATTACAGAAAGGATATAGCCAGGTTGGAGTCAGTGCAGCGTAGGGCCACAAGGTCGGTGGCCAGTTTGCAGGGGATGCTGTATGAGGTGAGACTGAGGGAACTGGGTCTCTTCAGCCTGGAGAAGAGGAGACTCAGAGGGGATCTGTTGGCGACATGCAGGTATGTGAAGGGGTGTCACACGGAGGTGGGTAGAGACCTGTTTTCCCCTGCAGAGGAAGGCAGGACATGCTCCAACAGAGCAAAGCTCAGGGAACCAAGGTTCCATTTAGATGCCAGGAAGCACTTCCTGACAGTTAGGACCCGAAGGGTATGTAATGGGTTTCCATGGGAGGTTGTTGAGGCCCCATCGGTGCGGGTGTTCAAAGATAGGGTGGACATGCTCATGGTGAACGTGTTATGAGTGGAGCGGGTTGGAGCTGGGGTCAGACTAGATGGCCTGGGAGACCCTTCTGACTTGCTCCGTTTCTATGTTTCTATATATTGATTGTATTTGAACCTTGTGCCACCAAGAAAGATCAATAACCTGCTCCTGTAGTTTTTGATTCAGTTTCAATTTTCCATCATTATCTAAAACATCGTATCTCACAATCATATTAAAATTCAATGCATTTGGATATGTAAGAGCTTCCATAGGAGAAGCCATCTCAGCAGAGTTTTTAAAAGTTTTCTGCCACTTGGTTCTTTTGCTAAACTGGCGATTTTCAAAGGTTTCGCTTTCTTTGTCAGCCTTTTGACCTTTGGTTTCCTGGCAGGGTGTCACTTCTCCTGGGCAGTGGTTGGAGCCTCTGCTGGAGGTTTGGAGGCTGTTAATCCCAAAGGAGATGAAGGGAGCTACCCACATGAAGGGCTCAGCTGCAGAGTTCTGCTTTGAGGCAGCTGGCTCAATGTTTTCTGATCTCTTTGGTAAAGGCCTAGCAATGGTGGCAAAAGTCGATGGCATCAGTCTCCCCACGACAAAAAAGGCACAATGAATGGCTGCCGGTGGGCAGGAGTTTGCTGCTGCATTTTGCACAGTCCCAAAACAGGACCTTGAGCACCATCCTGATGAACGGAAGGCAGAAGGTGAGATTCGGGGATCAAGGGAGGGCAGTGGGGAAAGTACTTTTTTTCTTTTTAGTAGAAGAGGAATAAAATGAGAGATGAACTATGGAGAAAGGAGGAACAAGAGGCAATGCTGGAAAGATAACATATAGCAGAGGAAGAACTTCCCAAGGCACTCATGACCATGGTCAAGGAAGAAATGAGGTCTTGGTGGGTGCTCTGCCTCACACGCTGGGCATGCCCAGGGGTCGAGCTCCCGCTGAATACTAATTAGGCAGCTCTGGAATCTTCCCAAATGAGCTCCACACATGCATGCAGAGCCCATATGTGTGATGCACAGAGACCACGAAGACGAACAGCAGACTCAAGTTAAAAGAAACCAGATTAGATTAGACCCCAGGAAGGATTTCCTCACTGTCAGAGCAGTATGACAATGAAACGTATTACCTGGGGAGGCTGTGGGCTCTCCCTCACTAGAAGAAAGTGACTGTACAGTCGTCTGGATGGTGTAACTTGGCATATTGCAATAGCAGGGGGTTGGACTCAATGGCCTTCTGGCCTCTTCCAACTCATAGAATCATAGAAGAGTGTTGGTTACTGGATGCACACTGGAGAATAAAGAGTGTTTGCCAAAGAATGGTCTGCTGTTTTGAAAGTGCCAAGGGGGAAACCTAGCTCCCAGCAGCTTAGGACTGCAATACCTGTTGGCATCTCTCTCCCAGCTGTGGTCTACTCGGGCACTACTGTAAAGGGGTGAAGAGGTGTCACACGGTAAACGGTCATGACCTGTTTTCCCCTGTGGTGGAAACACCCTGGTTTTGGACTCTGTCTTTCCTGAGGTTCTGTTGTCCTGGCCCTGGTGCCTCTGTTGTTCTTGTCTTGTCTCTGGCTGCTGGCCCTGGTCCCTGAAAGGCATGTCGTGAGCGGAGTTGGCTGGACTCCATATGAGGCAAGACTGAGGGAACTGGGTCTCTTCAGCCTGGAGAAGAGGAGACTCAGAGGGGATCTGTTGGCGACATACAGGTATGTGAGGGGGTGTCACACGGAGGTGGGCTGAGACCTGTTCTCCCCTGCAGAGGAGGGCAGGACACGCTCCAACGGAGCAAAGCTCAGGGAACCAAGGTTCCATTTAGATACCAGGAAGCACTTCCTGACAGTTAGGAGCCCGAGGGTATGGAATGAGTTTCCACGGGAGGTTGTTGAGGCCCTATCAGTGAGGGTGTTCAAAGATAGGCTGGACATGCACATGGTGGGCATGTCGTGAGCGGAGCCGGCTGGAGCCGGGGGTCAGACTAGATGGCCTGGGAGGACCCTTCTGACTCGCTCTGTTTCTATGTTTCTGACAGCACATTCCAGTTCTGTCAAACAGGCTACATTTTTTGATGTCCTAAGTGACTATGCCCTGGAACATGGTCCAGAACTGACCAGAGGGGAGGAAATCCTGTATTTAATTCTAGATGGGGTTGCCATCTTATTATTATTATTATTATTATTATTATTATTATTATTATTATTATTATTATAACATTTCTATGCTGCCCCTTGCCGAAGCCTCGGGGCGGCTTACAACACAATAAAATACATTGAAATTCAATAGAACATAATAAATTACCAATAAATACAAAAATACAAAAAATACACTGAGATACAAACATAATAATATAAAATTAAAATTAGCAGTATAAAATAAGTAAATAAAGAATATAGGAGGAGAAAAGAGAAGGAAGAAGAAGTTGCTCTGGCCAGATCATATATTTTAACAATTAAAATGATGTTTAAATAAAAAGGTCTTTACCTGGCGCCGAAAAACCAGTAATGACGGTGCCAGGCGGACCTCTTTGGGGAGTGAATTCCATAGGTTGGGCGCCACCACAGAGAAAGCCCTCCTCTGAGTACTTACTCTCCTAATTCCTTTCATGGAGGGTTCCCGGAGAAGGGACTCTCCCGCAGATCTCAAGGGGCGGTCGGGCATATACAGACGTAAGTGCTCGTTCAGGTAGCCAGGACCCAAGCCGTTTAGGGCTTTATAGGTCATAACCAACACCTTGAATTGGGCCCGGGCTTCAATGGGAAGCCAGTGAAGCTGACGGAGGACTGGAGTCATGTGAGCATAACGCCCCGTCCCCGTCAGCAACCTGGCAGATCTATTTTGCACCAATTGAAGTGTTCGGACCGTCTTCAGGGGAAGCCCCACGTAAAGCGCGTTACAGAAGTCTAGGCGGAAAGTCACCAGTGCGTGTGTCCTAGTATGAGATACAGTATGTTGAACCAATGCAGACAGTGATAGCACTGCAAGATTAGTATATATTTAACTGAAAAATTGCTGAAGAGCCCCACCATATTCATGTTTGACTTCAAAGGAGGTCAAAACAAGGAAAGTGGCAAGCAGGAAATTAAAGGGGTGAGTCAGGAAGCTAAGCTTCCTTCAAAGTTCTTGGACATAACTCAAAACCATAATCACAGGCGCTCAGAGAGTGTGAACAAGTTAGGTAAGGAAGCACCAATTCCAAGAGGTCACCAGCATGACTAAGGACACTATTTGAGACAAGAAGGTTTTCTTCAGAAGATGGCAGCCTTGTCTAAGTGGGGAAAATAGACAGAAGCACAAGCTTGCATGAGAAAGGTGCAAGCAAGCAATATGAAATGTAAAAATTATGCTGAGGAGCCAATCAGTAGCAACCTCTGGCCTACAGTAAAGAACCCTGTGAGTCAGGCTGTGGTCCACCGTTCTGTGTTGTGAGCACAGACTGGCAGTGGCTCTCTGGTGTGTTAGCCAGGGCCTGCCAGGGCATAGACTGCCAGGGGCAGTTGCTGACCGATGTGGCTCTTTCCTGTTTGATCATGCTCAGAAGCAATGCAGCCCTTACCTGCGGAGATGGCAAGGGCACGGGCCTCAACCTTGTCGCCCATCTTGTGCACCACTTCAGGGGAAGGACCAATAAAGCGCACACCAGCTTCGATGCAGGCTTGGGCAAAGTCGGACCGCTCTGAGAGAAAACCATATCCAGGGTGCACGGCATCTACTTCATTCTCCTGAAGAAACAAGACGGTGAAGTTAGGGGAGAAACCAGGAAAGAAACACAGACAGCCAAAATTCTGTTCTCTGTACTTTCACAGCCTAAGTGAATGTGGGTGTGAAATGGGCTTCCACGAGAGGTTGTTGAGGCCCCATTGGTGAGGGTGAAGATAGGCTAAACATGCACATGGTGGGCATGTCATGAGCGGAGCCGGCTGGAGCCAGGGGTCAGACTAGATGGCCTGGGAGGCCCCTTCTAACTCGCCCTGTTTCTACGTTTCTAAGTGCTGCTCTCCAACCAGTTGTCCCCTAACCTATACTAATGACACCCATTCCTATGCCCCCAAGTGCACTGATCTGCATTGAATGCCTCTATTTCTCAACCAGGATATCATGGCGCACTTTGTCAAAGGCCTTGCTGAAATCCAGGTAAATCACATCCCCCACATCCCTTCTGTCTAGCCACCTTGAAACCTTGGCATAGAATTCTGCAAAGTTCATGTGGCAGGACCTGTTTTTGCAGAAGCCGTGTTGTGTGGCTGCCAACCTCCCTTCCCTATCTAGGCTTAGTAGATCTCTCACTATTATTCGTCTTTCCTACAATGGATGTAAGGCTAACCGGCCTGCAATTCCCCATGTCCCCTCTACTACCCTTTTTGAAGATTGGGATCAATCTAACTCCCAGCTGGAAGATTCTGGGAATTGTATTTCAATGTTTTAGGAGGGCACCATGTTCAGGAGGACTATCTTACTCCAACCAGGTCTGTGTACATGTGCGAATAACTAAAATCATCACCAACTCTTCCCATGTCTTCCTGTCTTCATCCCCTTCTCTTTCCTCTGCTGCTTCCGCCATCTTGAATGTCAAGTGGTGAGGGCAAGAATTGCTCCCCAGGCTGTAATATACTTTAGAACTGTTGTGCGTGCACATGTGTGCAGGCATACACATGCACACACACATGTCCACCCATTCTATTGCTGACATTTATATATAATCCAATTTTCATTACATTATTAAAAAAAATCTTTTTCATGAATGCTGTCTTGTTAAGGATCAGGCCTAAAAGCAGGGCAGGGCAGGGCCAGGGGCAGGGGCAGGGCAGGAAGAGCATGAAACACTCTGACACTTACAATTGTTATATAAACAATGAGAAAGACCACTGACAGCTACCATAATCAGCAAGGGAAGCTCGACAGGCATATAGAAGGTAGGTCTGTTTCTCACTATTTCGTCCAACCTGACCCTGCCAAGAGTGGGCAGTGTGAGATCCTGAAGCCCCCTTCCATGCCTCCTGCCACCACCTTTGCCACACCACAGAGAGACGAAGGGAAGGGAAGGGAAGGGAAGGGAAGGGAAGGGAACATCACTGATCATGGATTGACCAGAAAACAGTTCGTAGCAACAGCTCATACTGACTCCTCATTACAGAGTTTCCTGGTCACCACAATAGAGAATCCAGTTCTGCTGTATTGCTGTTGCTGTCACTGATCATGATGCAAAACCCTGAACAATATAGCTTACAGGATAAAAAAGTCACTTGCCCCAAATTGCACTAAGATGAATTTGTATACAAATATATATTTGTATTCCATTACTTACATATTTTGAATGCTTTCAACACTGCATATGTTTTCAACAGGAAAAGTTTCCTCACTGTTGGAGTGATACAACAGTGGGACCAGCTGCCTCTAGAGGTGGTGGGCTCTTCCACCCTGGAGACATTCAAAAAGAACCTGGACAGCCACCCAAGTGGGATGTTGTGACCTGGTGTCCTGCAACAGCCCCAATGGCTTTCATGGTCCCTTCCAACTGTACTATTCTATAATTCTATGATATAGTATTGAAGGGGTTTTTTCTATGCTGTTCTATTAAAATATAGATGTTTTCTTGGCTGTAGCTGTATCATCTCTAAAATCTGCTAATATATACAGTCATTGCAACAGCAGTTGATCTGAGCAATTCTGTTTCTTGCTGAACTGACCAGGAGAAAAAGTGGTCTTTGATGGCAGTTTCCCCCACAGCCCCAGCAGTGATCACCTGCAGCTAAAGATAAGACTGATCATCATAATGATAGGTATATTGGTAGGTGCAGGATATCAAGCTGATGAAATCAAGACACTGAGCAATACATTTCAACATAATCTTGCTTTCAGTATGAATATCCTCAGTAGCCCTAGGCAGGCCTCACTCTATAAGTCTCAGCACATCCATATAAGGCTGGCAACACAGGGCAATTTCATAGAATGCTTACGTGCTCTAAGCCCTGACAGTGCTGGCTCCAGCCCCAGCTTCTGGAGGGCACGTGCACAAGGCAATTCCACAGGCCTTCTCCACCCGTGTTTGGTGGCCATGGCCACCAGCTGCTCTCACTCGGTGCCCTCTTACTCATCAGGGCTGCCACTAGCTTGCTGGGCAGGCTGTGGCATCTGCGGCTCTTCCTCACCACCACCACCACCACCGCCCGGGCCAGAGCAAAAGACTGAGAATTAGCAGATGGCCCAGGTGAATTGCAGCAGTGAGTCCAGAGGGTGCTTGCCAGTCATCCCCAGCCCAGCTGCAGGCCCAGGCCAACCCTTGGAACCAGTCCTGATGCTGGTCATTAGCCTTGCTTTGAAAGCCACTTTGAAAGATCAGCTCTCTGTGGAGGTATGTCTGACTTGGTATTTCCCAAACTTCAAAACATCCACATTGCATGCCTATTATCTGGGCAAAAAGGGTACAAGCTGTGTGGAAAAAGCTGCCGGCCGACTGTCTTCTCACCTGGGCTATTTTGATGATGTCTGGAATATGAAGGTATGCCTGGACAGGGGGGAGTCCCCGGCCAATGAGGTAGGCCTCGTCTGCTTTCTGCCGGTGCATCTGCCCTGTGTCCTGCTCAGAGTACACAGCCACGGTCCGGATGCCCAGTTCAGTGCATGCTCGGAACACCCGGATGGCAATCTCCCCTGGAACACACAAGCATCAAGAGCTCAGGAAAATTCAAGGTCCACATTATGAAAGCAGGCAGGCTGGTGGATAAAAAGGCAGCATGCTCACCTGTAACTGTCATTTATGCATTCACATATGTGGGCTCAGTTCCTGTGTGGATGGATCCTGTTACCAGGAGGACTTAGTAGCTGAGAGCATTTTGGCAGGAGCGCCCCCCCTCCAGGCATCCAGAGGCTTTCCCACCTTTTTGAGTTCAAAAATCACCACGGTGGCCTTGGGACTGAGGGAGGATCAATAAGACTGACCCCATAGCAGACTAAGTCAGTACAGCGCAAGGCAAAAATCACTGACTCTCTTATGACACCCAGTGAGGCCAGTGAGTGGGTTGTGCGAATGCATAGTCAATCACTTGAAGAATGACAGAAGCAAGCAACCAATTTTACTTCTTCATGGTCTCCATGCATCACCCATATGGGTGATTAGCAGGCTTACCTAGTCCTGGACGATAGGAAGCAGTCATTACTGAAGTACTAATGAGAGGACTGCCCTCCCAAGAGTGCAGCCTACCCAAGTGCGAACATCAAGTGTGTAATGCTTTGCAAAGGTTGAAGGAGTTGTTCATAGCGCCTCCTTGCAATGGAATCCTGACATGTACAGCATGACGTTGTCATTGCTATGTGGAAAGGGCCAGACATCATGTGGAGCAGGTTTTTAATCTATCCAGGAATTGCAGGAATTGTTGAGAGTTCACAGGACAATGAAACCAGGCTGCAAGCTGTTGTGACAAGGAGGTTGTTCCTTCTTGCCTCCACAACAAAAAGGTTTGAGGTTTTACTGAGGGGTTCCATTCCAGAGCAATGAAATGCCAGCATTCTATGTACCTCGAGAGCAGACCTGGGCATTGTACGGCCCGTGGGCCACATCCGGCCCGATGGCTGACCCTGACTAGCCCGCAGGAGGTCACTGGCAAATTAAAAGTCAATGCAAATATATATCGTCATAATATAGATGCAAGCAATACAATTGCACTGCTTTTATTTTGAAGGATCTGCTATATTGAATTGAATTTATTGCTTTTCAGGTAATGTTAATGTTAATGTTTTTGTGGATATTCATTAAATAGTGTTGTTCTGTGCTCCACATTTTCATTGCATCATTGTAATGTTCCATGTACTGTTTTTAGAGAGATACATATTGAGCAGAGCTGTGAGTGCATTGGTCCGGCCCTTAGCAACTGTCAGAGTTTCTCATGTGGCCCCACAGGAAAATCAAGTGCCCACCCCTGCCCTAGAGTATTGCAGTGTAGACTAGGCTGGTGAAACAGTGTTCAGATCTAGAGGAAATGAAGACAGCGAGATTTTAGGAAGGAGGGAATCTTCCAGGTGCAACACCATCTTGTCTCAGCGAAAGACAAAATATGAGGGATCAACCCAAATGCCACACAACTCACTGGATTGGCAAGCAGACATGATAGCCACCAGAAAGGCTATCTGCCATGAGAAAAGGTGGAGCTCAACAGCAGCCATTGGCTCAGTTTGCTTGTTAAAGCCTGAAAAAGCACCAACAAACTCCTAGCAGGTGTGAGAGTCCAATTATGAGGATTGATGCTATTTAGAAAGTGGATTAATGTTTTTTAGGGGACTAAGTAACAGCATCATCTTATTATACATGTGATGCTGTGCTCTGTTGTTGGACCATCCTGAGACTTTTATGTATATGATGGGATACAAAAGTTCTACATAAATAAATAGATAGCAAGTGCCTACTGAAAACACGCAAGAAAACTGATGAACCCTGGATAGTATAATGGAAGGATGAAATGTCTGCTGGGTAAACATGGATGGGTGAAGCCTTCAGTCTGCATTGGAACAAGGTGATTGATTGATTGACTTGAAGTTTTATATCCTGCCCTTCACAATGTCTGGGTGGTAATGAGGTAGAGAGGAACCCTTCCATGTCATTGAAGCAGCAGAAGGCGCTTCACTCTGTAGCATACAACTTCCTTAGTTGATAGTTTCAAGGCAGCATCAAGGATAGCTCTCAACTCAACCAGCAAGCTTGTGTTAGTGTGCCCTAGGGATGGATCCTCCAAGCTTCCAGGTGGAGGGTGTTGACATCTGGATGGAGAATTCTTCCCCATTCCCAAGAGGTTTGGCCTCAATGGGAGCCAGATGTAGGTCCCATCTGAAAGCTTCAAGATGTAGGCACACCAAGGCTGCCTTGGCACCCAGGTGGTAATCAGAATGCAGCCTGTGACATCCCATTGAGCCTTTGCCAATCCCGACATTATCAAGGGGGGAAAGTGAAATAAAGCCCCTGCCCAGCAGGAACAGCCCCCGCCTAAGAGCAGAAGCTGCTGCAGAAAGCGTTGTCCTGAATGGCAAAGAGACCTATCAATAGAGTTCCCCAGCTGCAGATCTTGTGTAAGACCTTGGAGTTCATCTGCTAGTCAGGGATGCTGAGATTCCTCCTGCCCAAGGAATCCACCAAGGTGTTGCTGGTTCCAGCAATACGAATAGCAGTCAATGTGATGTGACTGTTCATACACTCGTCCCAGATACAAAGAGCCAGCCACATCAATGGAATTGATCTGGTTCCTCCCTGTTTGTTGCTATAGGAGACTACTGTGCTATTGTCCATGGTAGGAACCACAGGGGTTACTATCAAATGTGAAACCTGTGTCATATTTTCCATCTCCCTCAGGAACAGCATGGATACATTTGCCTGGGGTGCAAGCTGGTGTCCCTCATAGAAGAGAAGGTGAGGGGTCTGGAGGATGCCCTTTCCTTCCTCTGGGAAATAAGGGAAGGTGAATGATTCCTGGACACAGCCTAGACAGCTCTCCAGACCGACTGGGAACAGCCCTCTTCTGAGCAGAAGGATGAGGGAGGGGCCAAGCAGGAAACAGCCAGGGAGACATGGGGGCATGTCAGCCACAGGACATGGCCTCCTCTGTCTCCTGGCGCTGACCTGCAGCTAGGAAACAAGTCTTCTCTGCTTGGGGAGGCTGGGGTGGATGATGACCTGGGGAACTGACCTGTTCAAGGTGGCAAGGTGAAGGAGAGCAAAGTTTAGAGTCACCCCCCCAGGAGATGGGGAGCTCCTCAGGGCATTGAACGTTACAAAGGTGCCAGGCCCTGATGGGTTATACCCGAGGGTACTTCAAGAGTTGGCGGGGTACTCTTGTGGCTGTTGGCCTCCATTTTGGGGGCCTTGTGCAGAACAGGTGAGGTTCCAGAGGACTGGAGGGTGGCGTCAGTGGTCCCAATTTTCAAAAAGGGGAGTAGTGGAGATACGGGGAATTACGGACCAGTTAGCCTTACGACCACTGTAGGAAAAACAATGGAAAGGCTCATAATAGGGAGAGATCTAGTGGTGCTTGATAGGGAAGGGAGGCTGGCGGCCACAGAACACGGCTTCCACAGAAACAGGTCCTGCCAGACAAACCTTGTGGAATTCTATGACAAGGTTTTGAGGTAGCTAGACAGAGGGGATGTGGCTTTCAGAAGCGTCATCCTCCAGAACATTCTACCTGCCCTGCAAGGAGGGGACTGACTTGAAAGATGCCTACTTCCACATTACCATAGTCCACTATTGTTGACACTTTCTATGTGTCCAGACTGGAGATGAGATGTTCCAATTATCTGTACTTCCCTCTGGGCTTTTAGTTGCCCCCAGGACCTTTGCTAAATTCATGGATTTAGTGTGCCCCCAAGAACTTAAAGTTTTCCTGTACCTTAATGACTGGCTCATAGTTGCATCATCTAGGGCACAACTATCATATTTTATCCATAACACCTCTCTCTCCTACAGACTGGGACTCTGTGTTAACCATGAGAAGCCTGGATTTCAGCAAGGCCTTTGACAAAGTGCCACATGACATCCTGGATGAGAAATTGAGGAGTTTCAGGATAGGCCTATGCTCTGTCTGATAGGCATGGTTGATTGACCAAAAGCAGAAGGTAACTATTAGTGGGGAATCATCAGGATGGTGGCCAGTGATGAGTGGGACCCCAGCAGGGCTCTGCCCTGGGACCAATTCTGTTCATTCTTTTCATCAATGACCTGGAAGTGGTGGTGATCAGTCTGCTGATCAAATTTGCTGATGATACTAAAATGGGGGTGGTGGTCACAACTGAGGAGCAGGTACTCTGGATCCAGAAGGATCTGGACAAACTATACTACATTGATGTGTCAGCAACTGGAGTACTGTGTTCAGTTCTGAGCTCTACATTACAGGAAGGATATAGCCATGTTGGAATCAGTGCAGCATAGGGCCATTAGGATAGTGGGCGAATTGCAGGGAAAGCCGAATGGGGCAAAACTGAGGGAACTGGGTCTTTTCAGCCTGGAGGAGACTCCGAGGGGATCTGTTGGCAACATATAGGTATGTGAGGGGGTGTCACACAGAGGTGGCTCAAGACTTGTTTTCCCCTGTGGAAGAGGGCAGGATGTGTTCCAATGGAGGAAAGCTCAGGAAACCAAGTTTCAAAATGGATGCCAGGAAGTATTTCTTGACAGTTAGGACCCCTAGAGCATGGAATGGGCTTCCATGGGAGGTGGTTGAAATCCCAACGGTTAGGGTGCTCAAGGTTAGGCTAGACATGCACATGGTAGGTATCTCATGAGTGGAGCTGGCTGGAGGCGAGGGTCAGACTAGATGGCCCAGGAGACCCCTTCTGACTTTGTTTGTTTCTATGTTTGTATCAACATAAATGGAACAGTGAGTCCACCAGTCAAGACTAGATTGGACAGCAGAGGGCACCAGAATATATCTGTGGATAAGATAAGATGGTAAAGTACAGATGAACCATAATTGAACCAGTAGCATTGAGAGCCTCGCCAAGCAGACTACCGATAGGGTTGCACCATAAGTCAAAGAAGCCACTGAGTTTGAAGGACCATAGCAACATGTTGCCAGCAGAGCTTAGATGCCATCTCAATGAGTGCTGCTGTTTGGGGTTCTGGGAGATATGCTGCTGTTGTGATGGAGTCTAGCATGCCCAAATGTAGAGGA